GAGAAAGAGTCAACGCCAGGCTCTGCGGGGCTCACAGTGGAGGCATCTCACATCGGTGTGCGACCACCAGGTGTATGTGCCCATGGACCACTCTGGGTCCTCTTAAAATGCAGACTGTTGTTCAGTAGGCTTGGGAGGGGGTCTGAGATTCTGCATTTCTAGCAAGGTAGGTCCAAGGTTAGTGCATTAGACCTGGTCAAAAATAGTAGTTCTCAATGAGGAATGATTTTTGTCCCCAAGGGATATTAGGCAATATCTGAAAACATTTTTAATCATCACCACTTGGGTGGTGAGATGTTACTACTGATATCTAGTGGGCCAGCGATGCTGGTAAATATCCTGTAATATACAAGACAGTCTCACACAACAAAGAATTCTCCAATCCAAAATGTCAATAGTGCCAAGTAGGGTCTATTTACATACCAATAACCTTAAGTTTTAAATTACATCTACATTTGTTCTATATCTCATCATTGATGAGTTGACTTTCGAAAACTAAGAAACAGCTTTCTCTTAACACTGAAAACTCCATTTTAATAGTTTTATCCCAAGGACTGTTGTCTCTTATTCTGAGACCATGTATCGTTAATACAAAATGCATTTTTCTGAATGACTGCTGTGGTGAATAGCATTAGTTCCTCTAAAGTTGGAAATGGCATTTATGACAGAAGATTGAATGTTTTCTCCAAACTTTTTGATGTCACCTATTTTTCTTTCATTGATCTTGTTCAAATGAACCAAACACATTGAAGAGCTGTTTGTGCTCTTAATAAGATAGTGCTGTGATAACTGGAATTGACTTTAATACTTCAGTGGTCCAGTGCGATATTATAGGAGAGCATTATCTGGGTTCCTCAAGATTGCCACTCTCGTGAGAGACACCTCTGCCATGCACATCTGCCAATATCTAAGGCCTTGCTAAGTGAATTTTTACTGACTTATTAATGACTTGTTAAAAAGCATGATGGATGTTAGCAATAGGCTCTCATTAAAAGAGGTAGATACGTGGGTTTGGCTAAAATATTTAAGACACTCTCCATCTTCGCATGAACAGTGTTAAGACAGTCAGGTATGCGGACAGTCAAGATATTTTGAGACATTTCCACCCTTGCACTAATAGGGTTTAGGTTCCGGAGAGGCCTTTTGCCTGCACTCTTAGGAAAGGTGCTTGATTCTTTAACCTCATTCCTGTAAAAGACCACTGGTGTGGGAATATATGTGATTGTCTGATGCTGACAATAAGGATACCAGGATTCTGACTCTGTTGGATCATCTGCCCTGAATGAGCCTGTCATGCAAAGTGTTGCCTTAGCACCTAAAACATCAGAAAGCATAGACTTCATTGAGCTTAGAAAACAGGTTGTATAAAATTTGGGGGCATGCAGCAGAATCAATTCTTATTTAAGAAACATACAGCTGTGTGAATTTGGACTGAAATGTCAACAAGAATATAGGGTGTGGTTAACACTTCCCCAACTCAATCCTCTGAAGTTACTTCATCTGCCAAAAAGAGTTTAGAGTTTAAAGAATTTAAGAGTTCTTCTACAAGATCAAATCCGTCAATCTACAACTGTTAGGAATGTATATTAAAGCATTCCTTTTTGTGTGAATTTATATAAGTAAAAATTAATTAAGTTATTCTAATACAGCGAGCCTCAGGCATAATTTTAAATTTTCTAGTAGCCCCATTAAATAAAATAAAAAGTGGATGGAATTTTATTTTCTTTCACCCAATATACTCAAGATACTATCATTTCAGGATGCGATCAATATTTTTAAAGTTATTAATGACATATTTTACATTCTTTTTCTCAGGCTAGGTCTCTGGAGCTTGGTGTGTGTTTTAAACTTACACCACATTGAAACTTGAACTCTCCGCGTTTCAATCGCTCCCCAGGCATGTGTGGTTATTGGCTCCCGGGCTGGACAGTACAGCTCTATAGGATTAATTTTAAGGCACAGTTGAGCATCTCATTCTTCCTTAGTGTCTCCTTCAGGTTTCTGCTCTAGGGTGAATCCCCCAGTCTCTCTGTACTCTAATTTCCAGTTACCAAATCCTTTCCTCTGAAGATTGTGAAATCCCTTCACGGGTACCGGGGATGCCAATACTGGGTGATGAGGCAGCGAACCTTCAGATGGAAGGAAGGGAGGACCTCGAGGCCCAGAGCCAGCTCCTCACCCACGGCCCCTGGACTCTCTCCTGCCTGCCTTCTCCAAGGCTCTGCTCACTTCTCACCCTGGAGCTGGGCCTCTGCTGCACACAGGGAGAAGCAAGAGCATGTGGAAAAACTGCACCCTTTGAGAGACCCACACATGGTCTGAAGATTTTTTGTTTTTTTTCTTTAATCGGAAGTAAAAGAATGAACCAAAATTACAAAACAGGTCACATGTTTCCAGGTGCAGGGCTCTGAATTATCTGAATTAGTTAATGTGAAATCCAACTGTGGGTGTTTGACTTCTGAGCTCATTCTTTGGATTAATAAATTAATGAGTCACTGACTTTTGATGAGCTTTACTTTCAGGAGTTTACCACTCTGGAGGCTTAATGATAAGTCCTCAAGGACAGTTACACAGAGTTCAATGAAAACTCAACAGTAGTGTTTCCGCTTTCAGAAGATGCATGCTGCCCACCCCTGGGAGATGGGAACCTTACTGATGCCCATGTGCAAATATGGCATTAATTCCCCAGGGAAGGTGGGTGGGCCACTTGGAGTTCTTGATGTCTGGCTTCCTGAAGTACCCCAAATTATCACATAAGCCTGGTGAAGTCCCTTAGTGAGAGAAATGGTGGTGAAAAGAAAGCCTGGGTGTCTTTCTGGTAATGGGAAAGGGCTGAGGAACCAGGAAGATACTGGCTATGGACCCCATAAATTATGGACCCCAAAGAAAACACAGCCAGGCCTCAGGAAGGACAGAAACCAGGGCAGTCCCAGAAACCTAAGCAGCAGGAGTTAATGGCACTGCCCTCGGAATGACCCAGCTCCAAATGAATTCATCTCTAAGCCTCAGGAGTCATGTTTCTGAGAGGGCGTTGTGATGGCCACCATGGTCACAAGACCATCGACTTGACTGATGGTCCTACCGAAACCACACTAATGGGAAGGAAAATCAAAGTGTCTGGAGACATAGCAGTACTCCCATCAGGTACAGTGGTTCCTTGTGGAAGTGATTCTTAGCTCCGGGGATGGGATTCCCCTTAGGGGCATGGCTAAATTTGGGGCAGACGGAGTGTTGGGTGAAGAGCTGAGTCCTTCTGGACATTATTCTACCCTGTCCCATCCCCTAGCGCCCCTCTTAAGACTGCTGAGGATGGGGGGAGGTGATTCTCAAACATCTTAATTTCTACCTAAAATTCATCCACAATTTATCCACAGTTACTAGAGCTGAAGAACTGGAAATAGGGTTTCAAGAACCCTTTTTAATTGCTTATAAAGAAATCAAACACTCAAAATTTTAGAAATAGAAGAGACCCTATTGGTCACTTGGTCTTCAAGGGTCTTTTTTAAGCCACACATGTAATCCTTCGAACAAAATATCTCCAGGAAGCCAATGTATAGAGGTAAAGCACAGATGCTCTTCTTGAAGGACATGATGAGGGGACAGGAACCCCATCCATCCAGCAACCCTTCTCCCTCAGAGCCCCTTCGAGCAACTCCAAGAAACCTGAGGAATCTGCCAAACACAGCTCAGAGACTAGCGGGAGCTGGGGCCAGATTAATCTTGTGGGTCATAAAGATAGTTAATGGAGGTTAACGGAAGACCATGGGACTAGACTCTTGGGCTTCCCTCTACTAGACAAGAGTTGAGCGCTGAGTCATGATCCTATTCTGCCGGGTGCCTGCCATTCTTCCCCCATCTCTTTCTTAGGATCATGACAGAACAACCACTCTTGTGTCCTATTAGCCAAGCCTTTAAAACTGCTCATAGAGATAACAAAAAGCCAGCCAATATTTGTTCTTAAAAGAGAGATTAACCAGATGCTTCTGCAAGCACATTCTCTTGCTTTGAAGACAATCATCTGATAAACTGCCCCGGAAAACTCCCAAAGGTGAGTATGTGCAACTGGAATGTGCGGTTGCTGATATGTTGAGGAGAATGCATTTGGAAGTGTTTTCTTTTGTTTGCACCAGAACTCGGAAATGTGTAGACGCTTGTGTTTTTATTATGCTTTGGATGCTGTCAGCTGCATTTTCAAAAGCTCCACCAGCAGAAGCATCCAGATTTTTCTGATTTGAGACTCTGGTCAATAGCCTAATTTTAGGAAACATTCCAACCCTGATATTGTGTGTGTTTGAGATCTAGATCGGTGGTTCTCAAAGTGTGGCCCCTGCACCATACCACCAGGGAAATAAATAAATAGCTGGCAGACCCCACGCCTACTGAATCAGAATTTCTGGGGTCAGGGCCCAGGAATCTGTGTTTTAACATGCACTCCAGGTGATGCTGATGCCCACTAAAGTTTCTGAGCCACTGATTGAGAGCACTCTTCAGAAATGGATTAGAGAAATAACTAGAATCCAATGTAGCCTTGAAAAATCAGCCTTGTCAACCCATTCACAGAGCTACTAAAATCCATTAAAAATCTCCCTGCTTGTATTTACACTCAGCCCCAAATTCAACCTCTAAGCAGCCCCACTAAAAAAACAAACAAAAAACCGATGCTAAAGAATGAGTATTCAAGTTCATTAAGATTTCTAGTTAATTAATGCTCAATTTTTTTAAAAAACCAAACACTTTGATCCTAGAATTCGAAATCCTTTCCAAAATTTTCCAGTGACTTTCCTTCTAGGTGCTCAGGCTGGCCTGGAAGAAGGTGCTGGACGTGTCGAACAACTCTGCACCCTCCCTCTTCCCACTGCCTCATTTCCCTCTACATTCTTCCTCGCTCTGGCTCTGCCTTTCTGTTCTCTGAGCCTCCCCAACCCCAGCCTCCTCCTAAACATTTCTCTCCCAGTCCCTTCTCTTGCTTTTCTCCAGAAGTTCATTCTAGCCTCAGAGGACTTCTTAGGCATCTGAAGGTTTGTAGCCCCGAAGGCGAAAGCTTCATGCCCACCCTTCCAATCCGCAAACTCCCCTGCCTCTCACTCTCTTCCAGGCACATTAAAGATATGTGAATTACATGGAAAAGCACCTGTGGCAACCATTAAATATTTCTTAAAATCGCTTTCAAGTGAAAGCATTTAACTAGAGTGAATATTTTTAAATTCTGGGAATTTCAAAGAAGAGAGCCTTAAAGTCTGCGCCTTACAGTTTTCTTAAGATAAGAAACATTATTGGGAGATACATATAATGTATCTCATTATTGGGAGATACATATAATGAGTCCTAGAGGTTACCAAACCCAAATCAGACATTATTGGGAGATACATATAATGAGTCCTAGAGGTTACCAAACCCAAATACTTAAAAGTCATCAGGAACTCTTACTACATCAAAAGTCTTAAAGTCTGAATAACTTTGGCCATAGTATATAGGTAGTATGTTGACAAATTTATTTCATTTCAAAGTGCATAGCAAACAGTGGCTTGCTTTAGTTTGCTTGGCTGTTAAAAATACAGGAGCTCTTTTAAAGGGACTTTTAATTACATGGGCAGTATTAATATATGGCAGTTTTGTGAAAACAATAGTAATCAGTCCTGCACCTACTGTGATATTTTCCAAGTAAGAGTCAAAGACTAGGTTAACAAATCCTGCTGTACCCCCTTTCCCATGGCCACACCCAGGGATGTGAGACCAAAGGAAATGGGCACTGAGACTGAGCTGACAGCAAAAACCTTGCTGATCTGACATATGTAAGCATTCAAAGATTTGTTGACCAAAATCATTGATATGACCAGCCAACAAGATGTGAATTCTACTCTTCCATTTTCACCTCCTTCTTCTCATCTGACCATCTCAGTGGACAGAAAACCTTAAGGTCCAGCCTTCATCTGGCTGACCCCTGGAGGGACTACTTTAGTTTGGGTTCCTCAGAAGCAGACCCGGAGGCAAGGACTGGGTACACATTGTTTATCTGAGAGGCGATTCTAGGGGCACTGGTAGGGGAGGCGGGAGTGATACAGGAAAAGAAACAAAGCCAATAAAGATGTGTAATGAGCAGGCCAACACTCTGGACAACGTGAGCTCAGTCCTGCCGGGGACTCTCTGAGAGACTGAGGAACTCACTTCTGAACTGTTGCTATAAGGGATGGGCCAACTGAGGGACTGAGAGACTGAGGGACTCGTCTTCCTTCTCCTATCCCTCAGTGGCCAAGGGTTGCTCCTGGGGTGCTAACACCCACTCTTCTAAACTATGCCTCCTGCAGATCACGCATGTTTCCTAAGCCAGAGAGATAAAGGAAGGTGCCACTGTGCTCAGCATGTCTGCATGACCTTGTGGGGTGGCCCAAGGAAGATGGATGGGATACCAACACTGAATGCAAAGGGGCCATCTTTACCCAGAGACTCTACTTTGTGTTTGTCTCCTGGGAGACAGAGATTTCCAACTATGACTGGGAAGAGAGAATGACTCATGGACACAAAAGACCCTACTTCTGCCTATACTTGCCATACAGATGGGCAGTGGGGCTCTGAAGTCATTTAACCTCACTGAGAGTGAGTTTCCTCACTGATAAAGAGAGGGTGCTGGTCTGGGGGTAAAACCAATAACACCAGGCTATTGTCAGGTTCCCACGAGCTGATGCAAGAACCTCTCCAACTTGCTGCATTTGCATGACGTGTTGGTGATTTCTGCTATATCTAAGTGCTGCTTATACTATTATTAACCCCATATTTTCTTCAGATTGATTTGTTTATACTCACATGTATTTAAAAAGGAACCTTTTAATGTCATCTGCTGTAGAGAAAAAGTAATCATAAAAATAAATTTACAACTATTAAAAAGTTGTTCCGCCATACACCATCTAAGATCATCTCCCACTCCACCACGGTTAGGCACCCTAGTCTGGAGAAAATTAAGCTGGTGTCCATCATATGAAGTGCTTAATTATAACTGTGACAGGTAAGTCACAAACATTATTATGTCATTTAATTCTCACTAGGCACACAGACAGACATGGGGATGGTCGTGGGAGCTATTATTGTTCTCATTTCACAGATTAAAAAGCTGAGGCTTTGAGAGATGAGGCTATTCACCCAAAGTCTCACAGATACTGAACAGTAATGTGAAGGATCCTATTAATAAGTTAAACACTCTTCTGGATGGCATAGCTCATTTGCAGGCAGAAGTGTCTTTCCAGGAAACAGCCACACTAATGCTCTGTGCTGACCCTCGCCCATGTTCTCAGTTCCCCAGAATTTTCATAACATTCTCGCCAGGGTGATACTTCAATCATCTACACAATGTACGTGAAGGTGTTACAGCCGTGTTCTCTGGGGGGTGAAATGATCGGATGCCTTTCCCTTATTTTTCATCATCTCTACTATATTATTTTTCTGCTGAGAATATGTGTTGCTTTTGGAATAAGAGAAAACAACAGAAGATTTGAGCTTGTTTTTAAATCCAGTGTCACTTTCTACCAAAGGTAAAAGAAAGGACTACATTCTTTCTCCCTCTTTTTTGAGTCGTGCACATGATGGCACCTGGTGAGTGACAACCTTAGAGGTAAGTCCAGAGATAGCTCTGCTTGCAGTAAGGACAAATACAAACCAAAATGTGGTGGTGTTGGGGAGGGGCTGGACTGGCATCTAAATGAAGGGTGTGGGGTACCTATGTCCCTGAAGGTGATGGTCTGTAAGCAAGATGGTAGCCCCATTTGGCAGACTGGGATCGCTACCAAAAACAAGAGTGGGATGAACTTCAAGCGTCAGCAGAACAGCTGGGTGATGTCAGATGCTAATAAGGCCAAATCCAAGTTCAGACTTCCAAAAGGCTTGGGGCCACAGCAGTGATGAACACAAGGCCAATCACTGAGCCTGTGTGCTGAGGGCTCTCCTGAAGCACACTCTCACCGCCATCTTTGTGCCAACTGCCCTGAGGCACCTAGTTTCTATCAAAGAACCTGCATAATTATTGACAGCACCTCCTTTCACAGTGTCCTGGTTTGGAAAATGTATTATATGCTCACACAGAGAAGGGCATGGAAGTATCAGGCAATAGATAACACAAAGAAAAATTCAGTTACCTCATATTTTAGTTCTGCCTTTCCCATCAACCAGCAGAATAATCACAGACAACTGAGGTTGGACAAAGCCCCAGAAAGCAAGTATCCTGAGCTAAGTCTGTCTGAAGTGGTTTCCTGGAGTTCCATGTGGAAAAGAATCTTAAGGCCACATCT